GACTGTAAATGGCTCAAATTGTTGGCAAACTATAACTTTCATTGCTTCTGCTCATAAATATTAGAGTCGTAACCTCTGTGTTCCAGTATGGCTCCTGTGTCCACAGACCCCACACTACACAAGCAGCAGGTGACTATCAGGAGAGCCGCCTTCCATACCCAGAGCCCCCCATCATGGACAGGTGCACTCAAAGTGCCTGGGGGATCCCCTGTGCAGGAGCGACCATGCATGCGTGTCTTTGTTCTGGTGGGGTGTGGTGGAGAGGAGCAGAGGGAAGAGAAACCAGTGTCACACGTTATCCTCAAGAAACCTGTGGGGAAAACCTTCTCCCAAGAAGAAAGATGAATGGGCAACAAACGCATTAAAAAATGCTCATCGTCCCTAATCATTAGAGAAATGCAAATCAAAACCGCCTTGAGATATCACCTAACCCAGAGAGAACAGCCCATGTCACAAAGTCTCAAAGCTGCAGATGCAGCAAGATTGTGGAGAGGAGGGAACACTTTTATGCTGCTGGTGGGACTGCAAAGTACCACAAGCTTTTTGGAAGGACGTCTGGAGAATCCTCAAAGAGATAAAAGCAGACCTTCCATTTGATCCTGCAATCCTATCACTAGGCATCTACCCAGAAAGAAAAAATTAATTTACCAGAAGGTCATTTTCACTAGACTGTTTAAAGCAGCTCAATTCATAATCACCAAGATGTGGAATCAAACTAAGTGTCCATCAACCCATGAATGGATTAATTAACTGTGGTATGTAGAATACCACAGAATACCATTCAGCCATAAAGAAAGAGGGAGACTTTACATCTTTGTGTTTACCTGAAAGGATTTGGAGAACATCTTCTTAAGAATCGTAAGAATGGAAAATCGAGCATCCTACGAACTCAATATTAATGTGAAACCAGTAGATGAACAACTCCACACCCACGTGGGAGCAGAACAACACATTTAAATTCAAGAAGAGGGGAGGGAGGAGAGCGCAGAGAGCGCTCACCGACGGGTGCGATGGGAGGGCGCCTGGCACAGCTCCTGGGTGAAGCCGCACCTGCAGCCTGGACTCTCCCTAACAAATGCAAACCATGTAACCTGACTGTACGTACCCTCATATTAATCTGAAGTTAAAAACGGTAAAGATTAATAAAAGACTAGTATTGTTTAAATAAAATATGATTTGTTGAACACTGTATCTAAGAATTAGAAAAAAATTTGAGGAGTTCACCTGATCCAACTTTTGTCATTGGAAAGCAGCAAATTTAAAATATTCTAAAATGTTCATATATTTTTTCTTTGAACAATTAAAAATAGTATCCCATAGTATTACTTCATGCATTCATAATGTGTACAGAATTTTAAGTCGGCTGTCATAAACTGAGGTAACTGTTTTGAAAATTCAAGATGAAATATTGCTTTAACCACCTCCATATTCAAAGCAACCTTTGGAGGGGGAGGGGCCTAGAAGGGTCCAGAAATTAATTTCAAATTGCAATGTCTATTCAATGTGTAAACACATCATTCTTCTTAACACTGTCCCTCAGTCTCTGCTGCAGTTTAAACACA